CACATGACATTCAGTATCCAGAATGAAAGAAAGTAGGAGACTCAAAGAAGAGGAACGTACGAGACTCCAAGGTAAAAATCCCGCTGTTTAAAGAGATTTCTTTCTTTTTTTCTTTTTTTCAGATTTTAATTATTTCCTGCTTTCTTTAATGATTTCACAACTGCAAAATAATACCTCCAAGTAAAACTAGACCCTCTTTCTTAAATGTGTACAAAAAGATATATATCCCTCATTAATGACAACTGAAAATATGACTTGGAAAAGATTATACGCGCCGCGTAACGCTAAATATTTTATCGAGCAGAAATGGGGTGTRGAAATCTTTGGCTACAATAGACTAGGTCTAGTTTCAAGCAATTGCTTTAACTATAGACCTGATTTTCGCCAGGGGACTTCGGTCCTACGATCTCAAATTAATTCGAACCCGAGGGTCAGATTTGCCGATAGATTTATATTTTATCGTTATGCTTAATTCGGTTCGGCTGCACGCATGATGGCGAGCAGAGCCTCCCATCGTTAAGAGAGGGCCTTTAAAAATCCTCTAGCATCATCTAACCCTAACCCTAACCCTAAGCCATCAGGAATAAAAATTTGAATAAAATGCTCCGTAAATCACCAGGAGCTGAGACGGTAGACACTAACATCTTCGGGTGTTTCAGTGCAAAATAAGATGTCTTAAAAAAATAAATTAGTTTTAAACGTCTTTACCCAGGATTAACTTGACCAACCTGGTCCAGAGGGAATAGAAATCTGAATTATGTCTCGTGGGGAACTTTTTTTTTGTTGTTATTGCATTTTGACGTCATTTGTGTATCTATTCTTAGAGTACAGAAAGATAATCATAGAGTGAGTTTTTCTAATATCAAARGGCGGGGGTCCTCGGCGGAAATTATGAAAATGACCCCTAATAGGGACCTGTATTTGGAGATGATGGGCGTGGCAGTGGTGAAATTTCATCCCTAAAAGGGACCAATAATCTCGTCTATTAAGGAGTGTTAAGTGACAAGACGTGAAATTGATTAAAATAAAATCAATTAGCAGCTGTGGTTTTTGATCTCATAATGACGGCTTAGGGACGTCATATACCATAAAAAGGGAAAAACTGAAATTGTACAGAAAATGAATTAATTAATCTAGATACTCRTTTTGTTAACTCATTTCAATTCTGGCAGTTTCATAGGAGTTTCTGATTTGAGTAGATCTGAATACCATCTACATTTCAAAAATTGTTGTTTAAGCCTTATAGACGATTTGAACGATCGCATCACATACTACAAAGACCAGAATGCTTTGCAAACTTTCTGTAATGTAATTAGTCTCAATTGTTTTACTGACCATAAAAGCGTTTAAAAGTCTGAATAACAAAGAAAATACTAAAGACATTTTGTTAGGA